TCCATTGCCGCTGTGGGATGAGGGCAATATTTTGTACATGATGAAGATGATGAGGATTTTGATGAAGAGGATGTGTCGAAGTCAGATTCCGAGGGGTATTAAGATTTTTATCACAAATGGTCTTTTATGTTCTACGAATCCATAATTTTAAACCTTTATGTTTAACTTCAATCAACGTGGCTTCATGTTTCCTCCCAAGCATTGATTTGGTGGTGCCATCCAGATACGTTAAAAACTCCGTTAGTGTGCTAATGTGGCACACATGTGGGAGTCAGGACTCGGGACCTACAACTTCATACATCATGTGTATTAGTGAGATTGTAAAAACAATTTGGTGGATCGATCGGACGAACTCGGACAGTTTCCGGTCTTAGACCACAGTTGTTGAACCTGGATACCAATCGTAGTGATTTGCTTTGTTAGAAGTGGTTCGGCTGGGTTGATTTGTTTAAGTGCAAGGTAACAAACGTTGCTCTTTAATTTGTCAAAGTGTTTGGGACTGTCAAATTTAGCTGCAGAAGCTGCATGGTCATCATTAATCGTGTTTACTGAATAAAGCATGCTTAGCATTACAGAAAATTCTGTTTGGTGCCACTTACGCGGATGATTGACATCTTATAAATACATGTCACAAACAGAGTGCATCAAAATAGAAAGGTTGCCACGTTAGTCAATTAAGTGGGAAAAGGATCCTTGTCGGATCTTTTTCTTAGAAATCCTAAGGATCACGTGATCGTGTTCGTTCATCGTACATCGTGCGGTAAAAAATTATTTCAAAATTTAAATTTTAAAATTAAATATAAATAGTACCTAACGAAAATTGACTGCACGATGAACGGTCACGATCACGGGATTCTTAGGAAAATGATCTGACGAAGATCCTTTTCCAATTAAGTGGCTCGTCTGTGGGCATGTGTGGTGTCTCGCGATTGATCGGTTTGAGACTGATCTATTTGCCCATCAAATTAACGATAATGCGAGAAAGACCAACTATTTAGATCAAATTTTGTAAACTAGATGGTGTTGTTGTTGATCACTAAATATTACTTAAGTATTGATTAATGTATTTTTTTGAAGAAAGTACGATATTCATTAATACAAAAAACACATACAAAGAGACGATATGGTGCTAAAATTGGTCTCAATAAAAATCTTGTTGGGGATTTCAACCATGTCTAAGAAAAAAAAGAGTGTTTTGCACAAATTTCATATTAATAAAACATTATATAATTTGTAAATTTGGTCCAAAATAATTAATCCATCTGATATTATCATTAAGTTAAATGATCATTTGACGTTGAGAGACGTAATAAGTACGACTAAGAAAAGTATTTTAGAAAGGGAAAGCAATGTTGACATGGAGTGCCTAATCACCGATCGGTAAAAAATATGTAAAACACAAAAAGCAATGCAGACGATCCAAACATAGAGAAATATGGTGGGAGGATAACGAAATAAAGATTGATTGGACACAACACATCACAAAATTGTACCAAAGGATAGACTCTTTATTTGGGTTTGGATGGACTCTTTATTTTGGTTTCCTAACCGACGTAATATCGGTTAAAAAATGTCATAAGATTATTGATTACAATGTGACGTGTGTATAGATATGTCTTGGAGAAAGAGGGAATATATTGATTATTATTTACATGTAGTGTTTACACACATTGTAAAAATTAAGTTATCATAATTATATTCTAATATTTCATTACTTATTAATGATCATGGTAAGAGAAGGTTTGTCTTAAACAATTGGCAAGTATGTATTTTGGAATAAAGAAGAGTAATTTGGTTTGTATATGTTCTTGGTCTTTTTGGCTAAACCAAGGGTTAAGTTTGATATATATATTTATGCCCCAAAGGTGCACAAAAGGCCATAATTAGAATTTGATGTGTGCAGAAATATATCTTTTTATAACTTTAAGAAGCTGCTTTTACATGTGAGTCGCACATACATAAGTAGACATTACATGTAAAAAGTTGTACTATTGAATTTTAGTTCTTTTTACAAGATGCACTATGTTACTATTCAGAGTAATGCGAGGGAGACCACATTTAGACTACATTGGGATATCATCTTATGTGACAAGTAATGTACATCATTAACATCTAATGAGATAAATTTATTAATTAACATAACAACTACACATCACTTACCACATCAGACGGTACGTGAATATGATCTAAATAAGTAATCTCCTAACATTTTCCTGCTACTAATGCCATTCTCTAACTATTTTTATTGGAAGAGAATGATAATTCACATTCTCTACCTTGAGATTTGATTATTAGAGTTAAATAATGATGGGCAATTGATTGTATGGTTTATTAATTTGTCTTCTTTTCTATTCAAAATATGAAAATGGAATATTGTGTTAATGGTGTTTGTTTGATCATATTTGGCCTCTCGTGAACATCATTTATACGGAAAGAGATCCTCTCCGGATCTTCTCTTCCAAAGTTCAGGGATCAAGTGATTCGAGTTTTTAAAATTTGATCAAACGGCTAAAAACAGATAAATTAGTAAAAACTTTTAAAAGCTATACTAATTTTTCACCGTTTGATCAAATTTTAAAGGTCCATATCACTTGATCCCTGAGCTTTGGAAGGAAAAATCCGAAAAGGATCTCTTTCCCATTTATCCTTATAAGGGAGTAATATCTTATGTTTCACATGAATTGGGAGAATAGTTGATGACTTTAGAACTCGACTTCATATAACCGCCTTAGTACTACTATTATTGCATCGTCACATCAAACTCTTATTTAAAGAAAACATTATCAAATATATTATGGTCCATGTATATATCTTAGTTAAAATAAAAAAGGGTGAACTCATTAATTTAACAGTTACAAACATGAACATAAATATATCATTTTCAAACAAAAAAATTATTACTCTTATCATGTATTTGTATGGTCTCTTTAGCAGAGATAAAACCCAAATATGTGTGGACCTTACTTATATTAGATAGATGATACAAATATTTGATAAGTGTAGATTCCAAACATATCTTTTCCATGGTGTCTTGCTTACGGGGTTTTTTTATTGTGCAACTTGTTTTTATATTATACCCGGAATTTTACATAATTCTTTGACCAAATAAAATATCGAAATATCTTGACTCTCTGTTATTTCGTGATAATTTTCCTTTTTGGTGCCACTCTATTTGAACCCAAGCCAAAGACTAAAGTTGCTAAACTCATCAGAGAAAAAAAAAATGGTTAAATATTTAGGGAAATTAATTAATATTTTATTTTAGAAAAATGTTAAAGAAACTGCCTTGAAGTGAAATTCTTCATGAATTCTTTATCAACTCACAATTTAACGTTAATTTCGTGCTAACAATATAAAATATTGTAAAAAAAAAAACATAGATGATAGAGATTCAAGTCCTACTTTTGAGAAACTTTTTTAGCATTTCTTTATTTTAATATGGAGATAATTGAAGAATCAATATTTACTTTTTAATTTAATTGGAGCTTTAAATTTATCAGAATGTGAAATAATGATTAGTTTAGATAACTCGTTAGAATTCCAGGCTTTAATTTATCATTTTAAACCTTTTATTACGAATGTAAATTTTGATCAGAGTTCAGCTATTTAGTTAGTTGGTAAAGAATTTCGTAGCCCCTAAATACTACACTATGGTAATATTTCTCTTAACTTATAAATGAATGGTCTTAAATCAAACTTTGTAAATGACGAATTCGATACTAAATTGTCTGTTGCGTGACTTGAATCAACACTCAATTATTTCCCATAATATTGTGGATGACAGCAACAAAGTTAGTTCAGATGACGCGGCCGGCGCTGGCGCTGAAAGAAAGGAAATCATCAGGATGGCGAGGAGAAAGAGAGTGCGTGCATGCAACAAAAAGCGATGGTGGTCGTTACTACCCAACAACCGCCACTTCCACTATTATTCCACTGACGCATTGTCAGGACAGATCTCCACCGTCCATCTCAGCCTCACGCTCACTCCGGGCCCCACTAGGATTACCCGTTCCTCACGGCCCACGAAGACACCAGATCCCACGCAATCCAAAAAAATATTACAGAAATTAATTCGACGAAATAAAAAAGGTTTCTTTTGTTGTCAGAGGTGCATAAATTAAATTATTAAAGTTTGAATGAAAGAAAATTACATGGGGAATGTAAAATAACAAAATGTATGAAAATTCAAAATTATGGGTGAAAATCATCTTCTAATTATATTAAGATGTCACCAAGCCACACGATGCATGCTATATATCGGAGAAGGATCTGTGAATCTTCAAATTATGTCCGTTTATTATATATCATGCGTTCAGTTTTTATCATGTACTATTCATATTTAATTTAAAATAAAAATATTTAAAATAATTTATAATCGTACGATGTAAGATGAACCGACACAATTTAAGGATTCTCAGAATTTTACAAAGTTCGACATTATCATGTATCAGCAATTCAAAAAAGTCGGCAAGATGAAAAGGCTTGCCTAAAAAGTATCGGACCCAAATTGCAAGATAGAAAGGATACTTTTTTGCTCAACAAGATTCTTTTTTACGTTTAATAATTTCGATTCTTCTTCTTCGCACTTTTAAAGTAGCAAGATGATCAAAACTGTTTATTTATATCTAAATTTTAAAAACAATTTGCCAAAAATAAATGTAATTAAGACTTGGTTTAAATGTTTGATTAATGATTCTCGAGAGCTAAAACGAAAAGATCAAGAATGAAAAGATCGTCATTCAGTGTGTTTGAAACACAGATATATACATCATATGTCATTGTATAATTGAAGAAACAATTAAAAATAAAAATTTCACGTTTATAATAACATATGATATGTGTTTTGGACACATTAAAAATCCGCTATTGTCAAAACAATAGTAAAAAGTAAATAAAAACAAGAGTAAAATAGGAAAGTTCCGGAAAACAAGAAAGGGAATTACACTGCAACTGCAAGAAACCAAAAAGCCACCCACTTTCATCTTCTCACTCCACTTTTCAACACCTGTTTTCAACCTTTCCACGCCCAATTTCTCCCACATTTCCCCTTTTTTTTATAAAATTCTTTTTTTATTCTTCTCAATGTAATAAAAAAATAAAAAAACCACGCTCTCAATTTTCAACTCTCCAACATCTTTTTTCTTCCATTTTTCTTCGTTGCCCGCAGTTGCTGTGTGATCCAATGTCGGAGCCGGACACTGGACCCGAATTCTACGCGGGCCGGCCCAGGCCGTGGCGACCCAATGATCTGGTAAACGGGGGCGGAAGCGGCGTGGGAAGGGCAGCGTACGGCGTCCCATCGGGCGGTGTGGCCGTGTGGCCCAATGCGAGCGAGCCGGTGCCGCCGGAGACGCTGGGGGGACTTGTGCGGGAGTTCTCGAAAGCGGCGGCGGAGATTGCCGTGGAGTTCGGGAAAGGGTGCAGGGATATAGTGCGGCAGAGCCTAGGGAATCGGGACTCGGTGTTGGGGAGGAGCTTGGGGAAGGTAAGGGAGTCGTACTTGGGGAAGAGAGTGACGCAGCTTCGCAGGAAATTGGGGATCGTGAACGAGTATCTGCCGGAAGATAAGGATCCGATTCATGCTTGGTCGGTGATTGCCTGCGTCACGATTCTTGCTTTTGCAGGTGCGTGAGTGTGTGTTGTGTTTGATTGCCGAGAAGATGGGGAGGAGGAAAACGAGTTTTTGTGGCTTTTTATCCACTGTTTGGTTGCTGAGAAAATTCAGGACTAATAGATTCTTTTGTTGGATAAATTATGCTTGCTATGAGTTCTGAATTTTTATTTAATTCGATTTTTTTTAAGACATGAACCGGAAAATTTTCTGACTCGGGATTTTCTCCTGTATTGTGAAATGTTATCTTGTGTTTGGTTTCTGAGAAAATGAAGGAAATATGACTTGAAAATGTCACTGTTTTAATTTATTTCATTTTCGGATCCCGAGGGAGTCGTACCAAGTGGTCAACGGAGCTTGCTAAATCTGCATGATATCCTTTCTCGAGAACCAAACAGAAATTCTGGAAATCCTGGAAATTTTCCGAGAAAAATTTCCTACAACATATTTGGTTTCACAGTGCTAGAAATTTGACATTGGTTGATTCATGGGGTGCTTTTTTGTTTTAATTCTCAAGTGTAATTGGGTCTTTAAAATCGATGTCCATCTTACTGACACGGATTTTCAAATTTCCAGTGGTGTATGTGAATGTCGAAACTACTCCTTCCGGTCCTGCCCCGGAAGTAAAGAAGATATACATTCATCCTCCGAGTGCTGCCCGCGTAATGCTTCCAGATGGTAGATTCATAGCATACAAGGAGCAAGGCGTTCCGGCTGACAGAGCTAGGTTTTCAATCATTGCTCCACATTCTTTCCTTTCGTCCCGCCTCGCAGGTTGCACATTTTGGATGTTGAAAGCAAACAGATAACCTCTCTGTTAACGCACGTTGTGCAATTTCTTAGTTTTGTGTCATTGTTTTGAACATTAGGAATACCTGGACTCAAGGCTTCCCTGTTGGAAGAGTTTGGCGTTCGCTTATTGACATATGATCTTCCTGGTTTTGGAGAGAGTGACCCTCACCCCAACAGAAACCTTGAATCTTCTGCAATGGATATGTTGCTCTTAGCTGATGCTGTTGGTGTGAATGACAAGTTTTGGGTTGTGGGATACTCGAGCGGAGGCTTGCATGCTTGGGCAGCGCTCAGATACATTCCTGATAGACTTGCAGGTATTAATGTCTCTTCTATATGATATTTCCATGTAAAAAATTTCAAGTATATGTCAACGATGAAGAATATGGGCACAAATACGAAGCTGTCACTGTATTTCGAGTGGCATTGCCACAGAGGAATATGCGTGCGGCTAGCTTCGAGTACCATTCATTCTGGCAATGACCTTGAGTTTTGCCATGTAGTCTGAAATTTCTGATTTTCATGCAAGATATAAGCCTGAAGATTTCTACATTTACGTGGGTGAGATGTTGCTAGATTTTCGTAACAAGCATTATAATATCATAGCCTGATATGGGATAAAACTAATTTCTAATGTATGATAAGTCTTTGATCAAATCAATATTCATGTAACTGGGACAAATAACATGTTTTGAGGAAATTTGGATCTCTGATGTATTCTATTCAAAAGCATTTTCTTATGATCCCTACCGGTCTAACTCGCAGGTGCAGCCATGTTTGCTCCAATGGTTAATCCGTATGATTCATTCATGAATAGGGAAGAGAGGCGCAGAACCTGGGAGAAGTGGACGCGAAGCAGAAAATTTATGTACTTTTTGGCTAGGAGGTTTCCTAGTTTTCTTTCTTACTTCTATCACAGAAGCTTCTTATCTGGAAAGCATGGACAAATTGATAGATGGCTGTCACTATCTCTGGGAAAGAGGGTGAGGATCGTTGTTCATCTTTTTGTTTACTTGTTGAAACGTTGACAAATTTGGCAACTAAATTTTTAATTTCCACATAAACGCATAAGCTGCATATGTAACTAGGTATATGGACACATAATCAGACTGTAGAGTTCTCCTCCTCTAACGATGCCGAAAGAGTTTCATGTTTGATTTGTATATCCTAAACCTGTAGCAAAGCATCATCTTTAGTTGGTTTTCCAAATTTTCTCAAAATTAATTATCTAGTGGTAGACCTGGAATATGATGCATCGAGAATTTTTAGAAGGTTTGGCTTCCATTCCACTCTAATTTGGTAACTGGGCTCCCATTTTGTCAGTGTTACTTTTAGAATAAACGAAAGGCCAAAGTAAGATTATTATCTTACCTGTATGGATTCTTATTCAAAACTTTATGTTGAATTTCTCCAGGATAAAGCTCTAATGGAAGACCCAATCTACGAAGAATTCTGGCAAAGGGATGTGGAAGAATCAATTAGGCAGGGAAATGCAAAACCCTTTGTGGAGGAAGCTGTTTTACAAGTGTCAAATTGGGGTTTCAGCCTTGCAGACCTCAAATTGCAGAAGAAAGAACGGGGGAAAGGCGTGGTCAATTGGCTCAAGGCCATGCTCACCTCTCAGGAGGAATTAATTGGCTTCCTTGGCCCAATACACATATGGCAGGTCTGAAGCATCTCCGTCATTTACATGTTTGTTTTTCGATTGTTTTACTGCTAAGGACTTGGAAAATTTTGATGGAAGACTGGTAATATGTTGAGTAGACTTATAGATAGCAATGAGATCACTCATTGTACTAGAAGAATGTGAGATTGTTCTTAGGTTCAGAAACTAGTGTATGCCGTAGCATATTCGTTTACAGATTGCTGGTGATGGTTGTTTCCTTGTAACCACAACGAATCTCCAGCCGTTGAATTGCTTTGCTCAAATTATACAGGAGCCTTTAGTATTTCTTATCCAATGTATTACTTTCCTGTTAAATCAAGTATTAATCATGGGCATTTTCTCCACTGTTTGACAGGGGATGGATGATAAGGTGGTCCCGCCATCGATGACTGACTTTGTGCACCGGATTTTACCAGGAGCTGCAGTGCATAAGCTCCCATACGAGGGCCATTTCACTTACATCTACTTTTGTGATGAATGCCACAGACAGATATTCACCGCACTCTTTGGAACACCACAAGGGCCACTGAACTTCACAACAGAAGTAGATCAAAGTCCTCTTGAAGGTACGGAAGAGCAGGAAGAAGAGGAAAGTCCTCTTGAAGGTACTGAAGAGCAGGAAGAAGAGGAAGCGCGTGGTGATTCTGTTCCGGCACCAGCCGAGGCATGATTGTCCTAGTTTACTTCAGAGAGGTACAATGTATATATCATAGGGTTACTACGTTACTCTTAGAGTATGAAAAAATCAAAGAAAGCAAAAAATAAACGAAAAGAAAGAATAGCTAAAGCATCCTGTTAATTCTGTTGCTCAGAGTTTTGGATGTTATCAGGTGGAGTATGACTTTTGGAGGAAGTTTTGGCGAACAACAAAAATATACAAAGAAATCGTATCGTTTTGATTTTCAATCATTTGCTCAAATTTTCATTCAATTTTTGCTTCCGAACTGCTCTGTTTTACACATCGTTTCAATACGTAACCCAAATGTCAAACCGAGCCCTTATCACCGCAAGCAACTTAGGTTAACCAGATTGAGCTTAGCCAAGTTGGCTAGAACGGTGTGCGCTTTGACTAAATGATCCGAACTGACAAACGCATGAGTGAATACCGTAATAGATAAATGCGTGACAAACGCATGAGTGAATACCATAATAGACAAACGCGCGTCGCCATATGTTAACCTATTAGGTTAACCAGATTGGCTAGAACGGTGTGCGTTTTGACTATGTAGTTTTTTTTTTTTTAATCAACCCCTCCATGTGGTTTAGATTAACATCGTGTTCATTAATTCTACTTTCCATTTCAAATAAATGAATGTCCGAACTGACAAACGCATGAGTGAATACCATAATAGACAAACGCGGGTCGCCATATGTTAACCTAAATTTACATATCGATAAACTCAACTTTACAAGCCCTCGCCCGATGGAACATCAAAAACTCTTTGTATAACTCCTCTTTCTTGCACCAGCTCGGCTCCAATTCACAGGCATAAAGTATCATCCTGTTTGAAAGATTACCATTCTCTAACAAGTACTTAACCACTTCCATCTCAACCCGGCGTCCCTTGAATCCCTGTATGGAGATGGTCTTGAGATGTAATAACAAACACATAGGCACGACCGCTGGTCGGTTCCATCAAAGCTCTGAACATTCTTCATCGCAGTTTGTTTTCTGACAGTAAAAGAATTAGGAAATGGGAAGTGACTTTAAGACAAGCATGTTTGTATAACGTAGCAGAAGTATTCAGCAATGACATTATCAATGGACAACTCAAACAAGATTAGAGAGAGCACTTGTCTGCACATCTTCTCCTCAGGATCTTGCATGCAGCACAAGGACTTACAACAACTGGTGCACTTGGAGTCGGAGTTAGAGTTGGAGGAGACGATGGTGAAGAAGAAGGAGGAGATTGAGACATAGTTGATGAAGTGGTTGTGTAATTTGTGCTCTTTGTTTCAGTACTGCACTCCATTGCAGCTAAAGCTTTGAGCTTTGTTTTGGACTTGGTATATGTTTAGAGCTAGAGAGAGAGAGAGAGAGAGAGGTGGGGTTTGTTTGAAGTGCAAAGTGAGGGTATCAATAGGGAAGATGAAGCTGGGGGATGAGGTGTCATATGACGTCAGCTGTTGAATATTATTATGTATTTAATTAGCTGCGGCTTCTGCTGCCAATATAATGATAGAATTATATATTTAATTTCTAATTATTATGCATTTTCAGCTCTTCAATAAGAAAACATCTTTTGCATTGAGGTTTCATCAACATCAAGAACTTCGACATGGACGAACTTAAGACTTGGAAAACACATTGCTGCAGGGGGATCAAAAGATATTACATCCGACAATAAGAAATATGCTGAAATTTACTATTCTTATTTCTAAAATGCGGAAACTAATTTGATTGGGGATCAGATAAGTTTTCTATATTCTTGGAGATTCGTACAATCTAGGAATTGTCGTGCGGTAAGTAATCACACTTTTAAAGAGAATGCAATATCTATTCCGTGATATCCTTTTGGATTCTCGCTGTTTTGATACAAATTCTATATAGTAAAAGGAGTCGTTTTTTTACTAGTATAAATACTCATTTCTAAGGTTTATCTCTGATAACACAATTATTGCATAATTTATTCTCTTACCCACTATTTGAGTCCCATAAATTGCTTATTAACTTGACTTTCGGAGAGCCTTTGGTCGGTACCCCACTGGTGCCTAGGTGATCTTACGATCGCTTAGTCTTTTACATGTAGTCGAGTTTGTGCATCTCCTCCACATACGGTGGTGCGCGAATTTAGTTCCAACAATTGGTGATTTCAATTTCATTTCATATTACCCTGACCAAATCACTCTACCACAATCATGTCTACCTCAAACCAACACCCATGCGTCTCTGTCGCCCCACGACACGACGACACTCCCGTTGGCGAAGCTACCCTTACCATGGATCAAATCTGGAAAACTCTGATGAAGATCAATGCCTCTAGTAACAAACTTTGAAAGGCTTCGAGGGCCCTTCAAACGAAAGAACGACCAAAGCGTATTGGCCTCGAAAGACGTATGAAAGCCTGTGAGACACTTTCTTTGGCCATGAGGAGTCACCGGCTCTGGCAACGCCCGGCCACCGCCCCCGCGAATCGCCAACATCTGTATATTTTCTCTAGTGAGCAATCTATTAATTAATATGGAGATCATTTGCACAAATAAACATCATAGATAATCCCCTAAGTGGTTACCAAACACAAGCACTATCGTACAAGCATAAGCACCACCAGAACAAATATATCACAAAGATGACATATGACGCTACAGACCTATCCTGAGACATACGCGGTGTCATCTCCATCAAGCAAGACCACAACAAAGCCATTGTTGGAAAATGAGGCAAAATCACTAAACACTACTAGCTAGACGCAGTACAAACACCCCTGCACTGATCCGAAAGTGATAGCCACCGATTGGATCATCTTCAATTCGAAAATAAGGACACTCAACCAAAACCACCATCAAATTTACCGGTCAAAGAGAGATCCACAACTACCGTGAGCCAAGTAAGGCGGAGCTGCCATAAAACTATCTAGGTAAGTCAGCGCCGCCACAAATTGGTCAAAAAGATTGACTCCGCCCTTGGAAACCAAGCCAACAACTATTAAGCTACGTGCTGATTGTGTTTGGGTTTAGTTAAGGGAGTATTTCCCAACAAACATTTCTTCCCACTCAACAATATTCGTACTAGTTAAGTGAAAATCATACATATTTTACATCAGGAAAAAAAAAAAAAAAAAAAAAAAAAAGGTATACAAACATTGGGAGGTTGAACCTGATCGATGACTTTAAACATGTTCAACATTGAAAAGATGTAAAATTCCAACGAGCTCGTATCCAAATTTGTGTTGGCTCAAACAACTTTTGGCACTCTAAAAAACTTTCTCATGCATTCATCCAAAAAGAACAATAAAAAAAACTCAAGTATCCTAATAACCAAAGATTGTAGAAAATGTCAAGTACGCTGAGGTGGGCTGTCAAAGCTGCCAATATTACAAGCAATGGGGGCGGATCTGCTCGTTTTGCCTCTACTAGGAATAAACCGTCTCACCGCCGGCGCCTCCAACACAAACAACACAAACAGGACAGCAGAGGAATGCAACAAGCATTAACTCCACACCTGCATTCCAAATAAACCTTACCGCATCTGTAGCAGAAATAACTTCCGCACCTGCAGTCAATCCACAGTAAATATAGGCCGCTGAAATAAATTTTTTGAAACAGTACTGTATGGAGTAATTTTAAGAGCCACTAGACAAAGAGCTAGTACAAAACTGACCTGCACACCATGAGATTGCAACCCTCCATTCGTTCCACATAGAACCTACAGTTGGGACATCTCCTCCAATTTTTCTTTTGAAGCATGATATCTTCAGCTTCCCTCTCATCCTTATTCAATTTCTGAAACTCAGCGCATTTGATCCCAACGTGCCAAGGAGCCAGACATTGCACACAGAAGCATCTCTTACAATTAGGGCACTCCGATTGCCTCACAACCTCGTTCTCGTCATGATCAATAACCTCGTTCTCGTCATGATCAATAATTAACATTAGGGAGCAATTCTTGAAGAGACAGTAAAACTTTTGAGAGGCAGGAATCACAGCCTCACACAATGCAGTTCCCCAACTTTCAAACACCTTGGCGGGTAGGATCGAACGACAGTGCTCAGGCTCTAGTGTTCCCGACGCACAGTCAGGATGTTGTGGTAGGAAAGCACCTAACCTTTTGGAACCAACTCTTGATAACCCACAGGAAATATATCAAATGAAATGCAAGAACAAAATATTAAAGACACCAAGATTTTAACGAGGTTCCTCAACAGTCAGTTTAACTGGAGTACGTTCTCGGAGCAGTAGGAGCTCACCCAATAATCCACTATCAACCAAATGAGAGTTTACAAAGTGTTGGCAAGCTCACAATCCAAAACTCCAATACAACCAATTGCTCTCACACACCAAAGAAACAAATAGAGAAAGAAATATAGTGATTAATTTCTTCTCTATACAAAGCTCAAATCTATTACAACAAATAACGCTTTGATGGAGTGAGAACTAAACAATGAGAGGGCACTCTTTCTTCTTCTCTCCAAAATGGAGCTCCTGAAAAAACCAATATGTGCTCTCTATTTTTCTACTACTATATGGCTGCCTTGCTCTCTCAAAGATGGGCTACTAAAACAAATGGTGCTCACTCCTCTCTCACTCATTCGGCTGCCGCCTTCATCCATACAAAAGCACCCAATAAAAAATCCAAAGTAAAGGAATAATAATTTCTCTACAAACATCATCATGACCTTCTTTTTTTCTTTTCAACAAACATAATCATTTGTCTCCTCATAATGATGTTCCCACATCATTATGTCCTTTATTTTTTATTATTTGCACCGAAAGGTTTTTGGCCACTTGACCACTACTTCAACACAGGATTAGGGCAACCGATGCTTGTGACGTCTCTTGAAGCTTGGAGCACACGTATTTGACCATGCAGTCCGTACAATATGAATGGCTGCAACTTTTAATGCCAAACGACTCGGATGCAGCCTTGGACTCGACGCATATTTCACAAACAAAATCCTTCTGATCACCGTCGACATTCTTGGAGTTGGAAGACTCCCCAACTTCAATTACTTGTCTTGCATTGCTTGCGGGACTGCTCTTTTTCATTGTCGTAGAGAGTCGTCTTTAGGAGTACTAACGCGGCGAAAGCAAGAGGATAACAAGAGAATTATGTAAGGGTTTAGGGGCCTTCTTTATATACATAATTATATCATATACGTATGTCTCTTATTAAATGGATTACAAAATATGTGGTAAAAACCAATTTATACACTACCCAATTCAATGTGAATTAAAACTTGTAATCCTTTATACATAAGACTGTTCTAAACCAATTTGAACTCAAACGTTTAGCGGAAATATAGCTAGACTTATGCTCATATTATGACATTATATTCAACAATAACAAAGTTAGCCCCAAAAGAAGAACATGAAGAAACCTTTATTTGAGGTAATTGATAATACCTGGATTTGTTTTCTATTAATACGAAGTGGGACATATCGATTTTTTTATCCACCCTTATTATAACATGTAGAATGGTACACCGCGGTATCTTATGTTTATAGCGTAATAAGATTTTAAACTCTTTAGGTATTTTCTACTTTCATACCTCATTTTTAAAACAGTACAATGTCATACACACGATTATGATTTAGTTGCAATGTCGTATCCAACTAACCATGACACAAGCCTTGTGCACCAAAGTGTCTTCTCCCTTGACATAAGGGAATAGAACTGCATTATTAGGGATCCATAAATGACACCTTGATTTGAAAATATATCCCACATATCTTTGTAATGCTCGTGAACTGCATTTTTAATCTCTTTGATCTAACATTTGTAATCTATTACTTATTAACTTTGTATCAAATACTTTAGAATTTAGGAATTTGGAAGTCCCTTGTCCAAACATAACACACCCTGAAATAAACAAAACTAAAGAGAGAGTTCAATTATTAATCCAACACAAAAAATAAGCAAATAATTACCATCAAATCTTAGTAAATAAACAGAGTTAAAGCCAAATCTCAGTAAATCATAAACAACAACTTTTGAAGCTTTCTTCTCTATAAACTCAACCTGACAAGTCCTACTTGTCCTATGAAACATCAAAATTTTCTTGTATAACTCCTGGTAACAAACATTTCTATCTGCATATATTGTCATCTTACTTAAAAGACAACCGTTGTTTAACAAATACTTTGCCACCTCCTTCTCAACCCGCCGTTCCTTGAGTCCCTTTATGGACATAGTCTTGAGGTGTGACAACAAACACGTAGGCACGTTCGTTGGTTGGTTCCATTGAAGCTTTCGACACTTTTTATTGTATTTGGTATCCTGACAGTAAAAGATTTAAACACTGCCAGCAAATCCCAGTCGTTGAAATCACAAAGAACAAGCTTCAATTGAGTCAGATTACCAAAAGCGGGAAGATGCCGAGCCTTGGTGAAAGAAACAAGTATTGATCAAACAAACTCATGCATAAATTTAAAGTTTCCGTATGAGTAACATACATTGGTTGGCGAATGAATTGGTTGCAACGTTTAATTTGGTCGTCTCCTGTCCTCCTAAGAAACAATTTTTTTATACAACAATATACTTACACTAAAGGGAATGGAAAATGAATTCTTTGCAAACTCGCTATTGTCGAGATTCGAATCTAAGACCTTCACTTACAAGTAAACAAAAATACCATTAGAATGTAGGCACTGTCAAACCTAGAGACATTCAAAATCACTACAACATCTAGTTGTAACAAGAAAATAAACGAACATGGTATTTCAAGTAATAGTAAAATGATAAAACATTCATTACGAACATAAATAGTATGACCCTTGAGAGAAGACATAAAGATTAGGCGGTTCTATTCATTTAAGTAGTCTGAAATGTGGGTTCTACAGTGTCCCTTTCGCATAGGCATATCACCAGGATTAATCAAATCTCACTAATCAAACAAATCTAAAGAGATTCAATTCTCGAACGCAAAAAGATTGGAAGTAGGTTGCCTGCCAATATGCTTTTACAAACTCCACAGCATAATCCTACACTTTCATCTAAATAAACTCAACTTGACAAGTCATTGCCCTATGAAACATCAAAAACTCCTTCAATAATTCTTCTTTCTTGCAGATAAGGTGTCTATCTGTATAAATTGTCATCTTATTCAAAAGATGGCCATTCCTCAACAAATACTTTGCTGCTTCCCTCTCAACCAGCAATCCCTTGAATCCGGTAATGGAGATAGTCCTGAGATGCGAGGACAAACAAATAGGCAGAAACTTTGGTGGCTCCCATACCTCTGAGTATTCCCCAGAATAAGTTTCCTGACAACAAAAGAATAAATGAAATGCGAATTGACTTTATGACCTGCTGCATGTTGGTGGAGCGTAGAACAAGTGAATAGATTTTACTTGCATCTTCCAATGCAAGATCTTCCAGATTCCGTGCTCTGTAGAGCAGCCCTGCTAACAATTTCCAGTACTTGGACTCACGAAGAACCAACTTCAATTTGGTCAAGTTAACCAAAAAAGGGAGACACCGGGCCTTGGTGAAAGATACAAAGTATTAATCAAACAGAACATCACGCAAACATTGAAAGTTTCCTTAAACATAATATATTAATCCAAATACAATAGCCACATGATGAATGGCAAGTTTTAATTCTAAGAATGGGGAATAATTCAGCAGAATACGGTGACAATTCAGGTGAGTATTCAAGGGGGCAGAGTCTAATATTCATATAAACCAATGAAACAAGGAAAGGTAGCTTACCAAAACCAAACGATAAAATTTAAGAGAGAGAATAATGAAATTAATCAAAAAAATTGATCAGTAATAGAGTTATGATGAGGCATGATGAGTGCTGAATGCTGATGAGCATAATTTAAGGAATTTAACATGAAGAACAGAGAAGAACAACAAGAAACATGTTAAGACGAATGAAAATTCAGAGATGCATGAGATGCGTCTCTTCCCTCGTATAATCTTCTCTACCGAAGCTAGAATAAAAGCAAGAGTGGTGTGCTTACCTCCAAAGAATATGCTGAAAGAGACAGATACTTAACTTTGGAAATTCCAGCCAGAAGTGAACATGCACGCACGGGAAACAAAGGCGACAGGTTTCTAGCAAGGTATTTGAAAGCAACACTGGCATTGACTATGGATTTTGCATTCTTCAAAGAACAACTTGACAAATCAGCCCCCTTAAGATGAAAATTAGCAAGCTGTGGGGCATCAATATAAAAGATGTTCTCGTTCTCATACTCGTCATCCAAAGATATTTCCAATGTTTTCAGTTGAGGTGCAGAGACATTAATCTTGTGGACGACATCAGTGCCAACAAATAGATGTATACTCAAATATTCAAGTACAGGGCAACAAGAAAAGAGATTTTCCATTGACTTCTCATAAGGATTATCCGCACTAACATGAAGGAACTTGAGACTAGGGAAACACCCTGATGTAGGAGGATCGTAGGAAATAATATTTGAAGACACTCTCAAAATCATAAGTGTTTTGCTCTTAAAAAGGCTTTGAGGCATCTCAAAATCAACCTCTAATCCCTCACTTACATCACGAAGATCAAGATCAAGTTCAACAACATTACGCATAACAGCAATGCAAATCCAAGCATCAATACGAGAGAAATCATTGGAATACGAAATTGCAAGACGGAACTTCTTGATGTCTAATGAGTCACGCAAGAAAAACACACGGTCAACAAAATTCATGAAACGATTTGAATCGTAGCAACCTTGTTCATCAGTTTCGAATTCTCTGCTATCTTCGAAGTCTAAATTGGTAATGAGTGAAGTCCATCTGTTCTTCCATCTCTTGGACAAAACAGTGGTCCTCACAGCCCACGCTGTTGGAAGGAAGGAAACTATGTGACAAAGAAGGGCCTCTGGTAATTCACTGATCCTATCTTTTACTCCTGCTTGATGCTTTGATACTGTACCCATTTGAAACCTGATCATTTTTTACACAAAACATTCATTTGATTACAAGCTAAACAAAGGGAGTTTGAACTCATAACACAGTGGGTTAAAGAGAAAACCCTATCCACCAGGGCATTAGAAAGTACTAGCAACAGTGCTCGCACGATGCTGCGGGGTTTTAAACACCATAAAACCTGTAAAAAGTTATATTCACAACTCTGCCTAACTCAAGGAATAGATAAAAGTTTGTTTCTTACCGAAATATACGAATTTGAATGAAATGTATCAAAGAAGTATAGAGTGGAGCAAACCTTGTAATTTCTATAAGGTGGGCAGCTGGAATACCAATAGTGATATAATTTGACGGAATCTGGCTGTAATCCAGCTTGGTTGTTCTTTGTAAATTTGTTGGAAAATGTAGTAGTTGGCTTGAAAATAACAATCAAGAGTGTTGAAGGAATCAAACCTGAATGATATCAAATCCAATCTTAATTATGTACCAATGGTGAACTTATATTTCACAGGCACCATGAAGCATAAAAGTTTAACCAAACAATGAAAATTCAGCTAGAAGCGTCAATGTTTAAACATTTGAAACGTTTAAAAGTTTAGTGAAACAATCAAAACCCAATTAGAAACCTCAATGGTTGAACTCACAAACTATGTAAGTTTATGTTGTATTAATTCATGCACATCATTGCACTAAAACAACTGAAAATGCTAAGAAAGGTTAGACATACATAGGATTTTGATGCTAAAAGCAGTATCTGAAGTGGGCAAAAAAGTTGGACAGTGCAGTGGACTTGAGAGCTTCTGCATGAGATATAAGACACATCATTGTGGGCAAGAAATTGGGAATTTAGTGTTATGGTTTGAGTGTATGGAAACAATATAAATTAGAAAGAGAAGGGGGGGGCAGCTTGAACACATATTGGAGGAGTTTTGACGCTATCTTTTATCAAATAGGTGTAAAATAACTATTCATATCTGCAAAGAACATCTAATAGAAACTGAGAAAAACAAAGCAAAGAAATTAAAACAGTCTTATAATGCATTTTCACACCAATACAATAAACAGATTTGTAGAAAATGCTGGCAACAAAGAATAACGAAAAGAAAAAACATGCAATGATCATAATCCAAAATAATTTAAGTAATTAATCCACATCGGAAATCACACATTACAAACCCAAACCAAAATATATCATGCGAGACATTTTATTTCTACCTTTGTTATTGCGTCTTTATACTAATCAATAGCAGAATTGCTTTCTTTTTGAACAATCTGCGAAGGTCAAGTTTTTAAAAACCTGCAATCACAATATATAGTTTTAACATGACAAAGATAGAGGCAATTACAGTTTCAAGAATTTATAACAGCAAAACAATTACCCCATAATGAAAACATTGATAATCAGAGATATATCTCTTAATCAAAACGAAATAATACAAATCAACAAAAAAATGTTAAGTTTTTGTCTTTCCTGATCAATACACCTTAAAAATTAAGTAATACAAAGAAAGTGAAAAGATTAGCCAAAACCTGAGTTACCAATGTGAATGCAAATTATATACAATTTCATCATGAATGAAACAAATTTAAATATCAAAAGAGAAATCTATTTTGTCTATTAAAAATATTACGAAGTTCTTTGGATACAAAAAAACACAAATTGTTTTCTGTCCAAGAACATTAACAGGAAATGTTGTTTAGTGCAATACTAAAAGTTGTTCTCTGCTATGTTCGTCATAAAGGAAGCATCTCTGGCGAGGAAAAAAAATTTGAAATAAATTTATAGACAGTAGAATTATATCATGAACAAAATAAGGGTAATGCGTGTTTACCTACTGTTTTTGTGTGTAGAAATAAGTTTTATTTTGCATGAAATGGAGATGACCTTCTCTGGTAATTCCATAGGATGCGATCAAACTTTTATGCATTTCCAACTTGCCTTAGAATCAAGTTTCTACAAAAACAGATCGAATTCAAGAAAGTAATTAGATCAAGGCATAAGAGATTATAAGAAAAAGTATAGAAAATATAAACCACATATAACAGTCATTATAGTACTTTTTATTGTGAATACACCTAAAAATATATCATTTTGTAGTGAATGGTTTGGTTCGAATTAATTCAACTTTAGTTTCTTTCAAACCCTTCAACTTATCCTTGATTTTTTTATTAACGGCTTTATAGCTAAGAGTTAGCTAATAATAAATATATAAATATGTCAAGTTTTAGTTGACCCTCGACATGTGTTCCGAAAAGGGCTCTTCCCATGATGAAATCATGTCAAGAGTTAAAAAGGAGCAAGAAAAAACTAATGTAAGAGCTCTGTAAAATTGAGGCAGAGCATGTTAAGGGAACCGTTTGAAAAATGATATTCTAAGAAGCTAAATGCTTGAAGAACCTAAGAAAGAAGATAATATATAACAACATGCTGAATCAACTGCAAAAGTCACATGGATAGGCACAAACATGTAAAAATGATAGTTGATTGTAATCCATAGTTGGTAATAGAATCATTTTCTCATGTTACTTAAGCAACAAAAAGCACAAACTCATTAAATCATAACAAAAAGCACTAATATACACAAAAGTGGGAAAAAATTATACCTTTTTATTGACCAGAAAGGTTCATTTCACAGTAAGCTTGTAGAAAAGTTGGAACTGCATGAGTACAGGCTACAGGGGAGAAAACTGGGGAAAACAAAAGCACAAAGGAATGTGAATATATTGAGTGAACTTAATTAAAAATTTAGAATTTAACTAATACATAGAATCACAAACCTCAATCATGAAAGTTTCACAATCTCCTTTTCTTTCACAATCTTACTCAGATACCCAAAACAATCTGATACTAAAATTAGTTAAAAAATATATTCAACTAATTGAGATATTATACAATAGTGATGTTCACAGACTAATTGGAACACATCTTTGCAAGTCATTAAAATTATGGAAACCTAATTGCTGGTATGTTATTAAAAAAATATGCATAGAGTGCTGGAACACACAACATTAGTCACTCGCAAAAAATACTCAAATTTTATCAAAATCTTGCTTCAAATACAAAGGATCCATACAATATAGACCACACTCAACCAACCTCCAATCAAACAGAATTCCATCTTCCCCTCTTAGATGGCGAACACCCATACATGAAACCTGGTTCTTTTCCTAGATGACTAAACCATAGAAAAAAATCCACACGGAACAGAATCGAAATCTCATACCCAAAAACTGACGACAACAACAAAAGCCCAAAATTTTGAAAACACATCTCTCAATAAGAAACCCCACTGGTAAAATCTAAAATTAGACAAAATAAAACCAAACACCTGCAGTAAAAAAAACCAAAAAAACTCACCAGGAAAAATTACATTCACCAAGCTAAAGATCCGTACAACCAACCCACCAAGCTAAATAACCTTCACCGGCCGACGAATTTTTCCATTGCAAAATGGCTCCACACCTGCAAACACAAAGATTAACAAAAGAAAAGCCACCAAGGGTTAAAAAATGGCAGAACACGATAGCGAAGAACAATCCAAACAACGCGAAAGCAGAGGAGAAGAGACGCGTGGAGCGCGAGGACAAAAACGCTGAGTAAGGGTATCGAAAAATGGAGCACTGGAGCAGAAAGAAGAGACGAAAGAAAAGAAGGAGAGGGAAACGAAACATGCTTCCCTAGAAAAACCCGATAGCCACGCACGCGCAACACACATGACCAAGGGAAAATTCCACAAAGAAATGGAGAACACCAAGTGTGTACCTTTCTAGTTTATGCACGCCATTTATGAGAGTTGTTCTACCCGTTTCCTAAGCGGTTTCATTAATTAAGCCTTGGAAGATTAAAAGCAGCATTTATCAATAATTAAACCCTGCCGTTTGATTGCATCCATGTATATGTTAAATTGAAGAGCACATTGGTCTTCTCATTGTTATTTCAATATATTAGTAAGTTTTTATTGAAAAAAAAAAAAGCCTAAAAGAACTTGAAAGACAAAAAACGAGACCAATTACTCGAGGAATAAGAAAATAGAGAATTGCACATACTTGCAATTAATTATTTGACGAATATGAGAAGAAAGTTCGACTAATTGTAGGAATTCAAAAATCAAATTCAAAATGGCTGTCAAAGGTTCGTGGCTAGATTTTGAAAGACCGCAATGTTTCCCCCTCCTGGAATTTTGCCAAGTTATAGGGCTTCACTAGATCAACCTTCGTAAAAGCTCCTATTTTATTTATTTATTTATTTATTATACATGCATGAAACTTCTTGTTCGGTTTATTAGATACAAGAAACTATGGAAACTTCTGGTTCCAACTAAAATGTACAAATGAGCTTTTAAGTCACGATCAAAGTATACAATCAGGGATTGGGGGCCTTAAACCATCCTTTAGGGTCTCTCCTAATATCATCTACTTAAATATATGAATTCTTTGGCATTTAGAACCCATGAAAGGTATTTCATGCCTAAGACTAAGTTCACAATTTTCTTATTCCCAAAAGAAAGAAAGTGAGGTATGACAGAACATGTGATAATTAATTCATTGCTATAAACATGTCTACACAAACTGTTAGAACTTCAAGTTATTAACATTATTTACATTTTGAACTTCAAGTCAAAACATTATACATATTTACTTGAATTTAAATCCCGAGATCTACATTATTAGAACCTTTATGTTCATATTTTTTGAATTCATGCCCATACTTAGTTGTACATAGACTAAGGAACCTCTGGCCTTCATTTAATAGTATGTGGACCGAGGCACTTATGGTCGTCATTTAATTAAGTTGAGGAATTGTTGCTTTCTCAATTGATTCAGAAAAAAAAAAAAAAAAAAAACTTTAGGTTTTAATTTTGATCTAGGAACTTCAAGTCCGATCTTTTTACAGGATGACGATCAACGAACTTCACATATCGTTATATACTTATCATAACAAAATGTACTCCAATAAATAAATCATTGCAAATGACGATAATATCACTATAAATATTTTTTTATTATTTCAAACTGCATATCAAAACAGTATACGTATTTACTCGTAATTTTCTCCCCAGATCTATATTATTAGCCTCTATGTTCATTTTTTGGAATTCATGGCCACACTTAATTGTAGGAACTTTGGTCCTCGTTCACATAAATCAAGGAACTTCTAGTCCTCATTTAATAGTATGTGGACTGAGGCACTTATTTAATTAAGTTGAGAAATTGTTACTCTCTCAATTGATTCAGAAAAATAAATAAAAAACTTCAGGTTTTAATTTTGATCAAGGAACTTCAAGTCCGACTTTGTTATATGATAAGGATCAAGGAACTTCATGTACAGTATATACCCATCATAACAAAATGTAGTACAATAAATAAATCATTGCATATGATAATTCCACCACTATAAATAATTTTTTATATTTTAAACTTCAGGTAAAGACATTATACATTTGTACTCGTAATTTGCTCTCTATATCTCATTATTAATTTTTTTCTGCTCATTTTTGGAATTCATGACCATACTTAATTGTACATAGATTGAGGAACTTTTGGTCTTCATTCAATTGATCCTATTAAATAACATGTACACATAGGTATTTTTTGTAATTTAATTAAGTTAAGGAATTGTTGCTCCGTCAATTGATCCTATCAAAAAAAAAAAAACTTCAGGTTATAGTTTTGATGAAGAAACTTGGAGTCCAATATTTTTATGTAATTAGGATAAAAAACTTCATGTTCTGGTATATACTCATTATAAAAAAATGTGGTACGATAATAAATCATTGTAAAGTCAATAATTCCACTCACTAATAAAACTTGTGACAAGAGCTTTAATCTAACATAATTCACATAAACTTCAAAACTTAAAAGATAATGACTAGTATTATAAAAAGAATAGAACTTGGCTGCTGAAAAATCAGCAGCAACTCCTGCTGCTGACCAATCATAGATTGAACACATGTTTATCTGTGATTTGTTAGTAGCAGGAGCTGTTGTGGTTTCCTCGCTCCCCATGTTAGAGAGGGATGCCTGGTCAAAAGAGAGTGTACGAATGGTGGAAACCATCTTGACAAAGCTGAAGAGAATAGGAATAAGTACGTTTCCCACAGACGGCTCCAAAAGTTGATGCACAAAATCAGTGAGGACTTTGGTACAACAGAAAGTGTCAAGTTTGTGACATTCGCTAGATTGCTCCGGTCACTAATGTGGATAAGTATGTAAATGGATAGAGACATGGAAGCTAACACAAGATGTACGTGGTTCACCCAGATTGGCTACGTCCACGGAGTAGATGAGTTCTCATTAATTGTGAAGGGTTTACACAAATACATAGGTTCAAGCTTTCCTTTAGTGAGTTCTAGTGAATGATTCAGTAGAAATCACATTAGGCATTATTGTGGGAGATTATAGAAGAGAGTTTCTAGCTTTATTTTGGCCTTGACACGTGTCATGCTGTGATTGACTTCTGATGTCGACACATGTCACGTTGTGATTGGCCTCCTGGTTGGAGGGACACTCTTCTGAGTCCTTAACGGTATAACGTTGAATGGTACTCGGTAGTTTTGGGATTAGTCAAGTATGGTACAAACACATATGATCTTTTGCATGTGTGCGCAAATAGTACATGTGGATTTTTTTTTTTTCCTTTTTTTTTTTTTTTTTTTTTTTACTAATAACCACCTGAAGTTTGTGATTTGGAGCACTGTACCGCTTCTGTCAACTTTTGTATATTTTCTGTTAAATCCTAGTGCAATTACATTTTGAACCTTTTAAGTATATTTTCATTTTCATACCTTATTTTGAAAACATTACAATGTCAGACACACAATTACGATTTTGCAATGTCGTATCTAACTAACCATGACACAACCAATTTACACCAAAGTGTATTCTCCCTTGACATAAGGAATTAGAAATGCATTTTAAAGAGGCATTTAAGAAGATCTATAAAGGACAGTGTCTAAGTAGAGATTTGCAAACCCCTCTCACCTGTCTTTGTAATGTTTGTGAACTTCATTTTTAATCTCTTCGATCTAATACTTTGTAATCCGATACTTATTAACTCCATATAATACTTTAGAATTTGGAATTTAGAATTTGGAAGTCCCTTGCCCAAACATACCGGGTGGATCTTGCAAATCGACAAACCACAACCCCATTCTGCAAACTCCCTGGAGTAAACAAACTAAAGAGAGTTGAATCTTTAATCCAACACAAAAGATCAGTAAATAATTACCATCCACATAACCAAACAAAGACTTAAACCCAAATCTTAGTAAATCCTAAACAACTTTCAAACCTTTCTTCTATATAAACTCAACCTGACAAATCCTACTTGTCCTATGAAACTTCAAAAGTTTCTTGTATAACTCTTCTTTCTGGTAACAAACACTTCTACCTGCATATATTGTCATCTTACTTAAAAGACAACCGTTGTTTAACAAATACTTTGCCACTTCTGTATCAACCCGCCGTCCTTTGAGTCCCTTTACAGACACAGTCTTGAGGTGTGACAACAAACACGTAGGCACGTTCAGTGGTTGGTTCCATTGAAGCTTTGGGCGCTTCTTAGTGTATTTGGTTTCCTGACAATAAAAGATTTATACGAAACCTGAATCATTTAGGAGCTCCGTGTTGGTATTACATAAGAGAAGCATATACAGATTTAGCTACTTTCTTCATGGAAATAAACAAATTACTGTTTGGATTAAAACTTGATTTTTTGGCCCAAGGATGGAGTCGGCCCAAAAGGAGGCCTGGAGGAATAGAAGATCAAGGCCCGGCCGAAACTTGGGAAAGCAGGAAAGGGCCTTTTCTGACTTGATACAATTCATAAGGGCCACTTGCCTACCTACCCAAGGACCAAGTGGTGTAGACTGATCAGACTGCACAGCCCATAAAGTACTTTATGGTGGCATTACATGTAATAAAGCTGATGAGTCATCACCCTCAGACCGCATTTGGGCAAAGCTGTCGCTACAGGAGCCAAACCGAGTCGTCTATAAAATGAGGAAGAGAAGACAGGAATAGAGACACTCAATCAAACAAACACACTCAATCAAACAAACAAAAGCACAAACTCTGCTAAAAAAGCCAGATTTGCCTTTCAAAACAAAGCTGTAATCAGCCCAAGCCTTCAACCCCAGCGGGATAATCTTTTCTCCCAACCTCTGTAATAGCTCTGCTACCTTGTTTGAACTTGTTGTAGTATCGATTCACCCTTTGTATTCTCCTTTCCCCTCTCCCCCTCTAAGCTTTCAGACCTTTGACAGAACTACAAAGATAGGGACCTGCAAGACGATCAGCCTTAATTGATAAGCCTTGCCCGAAGAGTCTTGCCCGACGAGACTTGCCCGACAAAGCCCGACAGGAAAGCAGAAGCCCAACAGCAGCCCTCAACCGGCGCTAAACCTCCAGGGGAGCTGTGTGCTTGTCGGCCAGGAAACATCCCCGACGGGAATTCCTGCCACGAACATAGTTTTGGCACGCCCGGTGGGATCTCTAATCAGAAGATAGAGAAATAGATATGCCAGAAGACTTACAGACCACATTGTTTCAGATGCTGCAAAGATTGGAGAAAGCCTCCATAGGCTCTAGAAGTGATACAGATGTGGTTCCTCCCAAAGGAAAAAGACGTAGAAACAGCCAGCCAGATGAGATGGACGTAATCAACCCTGCATTTCCCTTCTCAGAGGCCCCTATAAATATGCTCAATATGACATGGGCGGAGAAAGGAAAATGGAAGATTACAA